TCTGATGGCTTTCACCAAACTCAGTTTTATAATTGGCGTCTAGGGCGCTCTTCAACGTTCTGACCTGACCCTGCGCTGTCCTAACGGCTCTCTCAATTTCGCCGTTGGCCTTTGAGTCGCCTACTGGGCTGACCTCAACTCCCATGTCAAGATCACACGAAGCTTTAATCCTATTGGCCAATGCTGCGATTGCCGCTTCCCCATCACTTTTGAGTATCACTTTCTTGTATCCGGTAAAACTTATCATGTCACATCCTACTTTTACCGAGTACGAGTCCACTCCCTTTTTCATTAACACTCTGCTCCAAGTCAATTTGGTCTCTCTGCAATGCATGGCCAAAATTGGGTTGCCATTGCTGGTGCTTTCACCTTCATCTTTTCTTCCTTTAAGCCACATGTAGTCCATTGAAATCACTGGCACGTTTCCGTTCCCCTCTCTTTTGCGTCTACGGTGATTGCGTCTGCGTGCTTTCCCTCTGACGCAATGTGGGCACCAGCTTCGGTAAGGTAAATGCGTTGTGTTATGCGCTTCAACTTCCCCCTTTGAGGGCCTCATGTCACAGTGAACTCTCTTTGGTAACTCCGCTTCATCACCCGCGAATACATCTTCCACATCACTTAACTCACTATCGTTGCCCCCACTTTCACTCCCTTCGTCTCCTTCGGTATTAAAGACGTTTAAGTTTTCGCTGGGTCTTACGGGTGATGGGGGGCTTAGTAGAACAGATCCGCCTCCAGGGTTCCCGGCCGCGGAAAACCCTCAGGTACGTTCACTTCGCTCCTGGGATTGACGGCCTCCGCTGGTCCCTTCGGTACTGTGATGTTGAACTGGAATGTGCCATTCTTCTCATGGATGGCTGTTAACTTACCAGTCGCCTTGTTCATGATGTGGCTCAGGGACCTCCCGTTGGGATCCTTGTCGAATACCACTCTGTTTCCAGCGTTTACCATCTCTCTGACCGATCCTAGGACTTTGTTGACCTCTGCTACTTGAATCGGCATACTGACGGCGTTCCCATGCTCATTTTTACCTGTGATCACTCGTTGGCCATAATTCTTTATCGTGGTTCCATTTGCTGCACTGTAGTGTCGTCCCTGCTTTGACGCGCCCGTATGCTTAATAGGGAAATGGGTGCCAACTTTGGGGGGTCCCACTGTGTTGTAGGCGCCGGAGTCCACGGTAACCACGATCGTCTCATGTGTTGCACTTGGCGGTGGCACCGCGTTAATCTCTGGATCACATCCCCGCATCTCAATTAGTCCAATTTCCTTGCACTTCGCCAGCCAACTTTTTTCCTGCCTCACGCTTTTACTTATTCTCTGGTCCCACTGACTGGTATGGTTACAGTCCCCGTTGTACTGGTGTCCCTGATAGATTCTTCTCAAGTTTACCGCGTTGTTGCGCGCCGTCTTCTTTCTTGCGTAATAGGGCAGGTCCCATTTCTCGTTAACCTCCTCGATTGCAGGCTGGTCTAGCGGCACGTTCATTGCTTCCTTCATCTCGACGCTGAGAACGTGCTGTGGTTGGCCGAACGAGGTGGTTTGTTCAATCTCGGCGTTCACTACAGGTTTCTCTTGCTCAACTTCGTTGGCGGTCTTCTTGGAGCCCGGACAGTTAATGGCGATGTGCCCTTTTCCGCCACACTTGTAACATTCACGTTCGCTGTGCGGGGTGAACTTCCCTTGGCTTCCGTAACTTCCTCCCCACGAGCTACTTCCTTTACCTCCCTGTTTGCCTCCGATCTTACCTTTCACATAGGATCCGTAAGTGGCTCGGTAACCTTTGCCTTTTCCGCCCTTGCCACCTTTACCTCCTTTGGTGAACTGTTTAGGTCTCGTGCAGTTCCTGGCTAAATGGCCCATGCCTCCACAATTGTAACACCTGGGGCCCGTTCCTTTACCCTTGCCTTTGTTTACGGCGTCAATTTCCTCATATTCTCCACCGTCACTCTCATTGGCCCAGGATCCGTGATTCCACGATCCATCCTCTGACCACCAGTTTCCATCTTCGTCAACCCATCCTGTTTGGTCCCAAACATTTTCGGACCCTTGACTCATCTCGTTGACATTCCCAATGTCCATTGCATCCTTATTTTTCGTATCTGAGTCAAGTTTCTTTTTACGCGCCCAGTCTTCGCACTTTGAGTACAGTTTCTGAAACGAGTCAATGTTAAGCGCGTCAGGCGTTCACCAACATGCCTGCTGCCATTCGTCAAACCAGTCATTCGCGTGCACCATTATGGCCCTGAGAGCGGTGACTTTGAAAGGAAGAGGCAGCGAGTAATCTTTGCCATATTTCTCAAGGTTTTCTGCCAATGCGCTCCATTCCTCAAGTCGGGTAACAGAGCCCCCATCCCCACCAAGGTAAGCCTGTCGTTCGATACTTCCTTGTGCTTTACCCTTCGCTGGGGTTCCACTGGCGGTCTCGCATCGGCGCAGCAAGGCGCGGGCATGTGCTTTCGAGGCGGGATATGTTCAAATTCCTCGGAGGAGGTGTTTGCAAGACCTCATTGTGCGGGAGATCTGGGAATGGGAATCACGGACCCCGCTATAAAACAAGAGTCTCCCATGTTGTGGATGGTTATCATGATGGCCGCATGCTTCGTGTGGAAACATCGCGCATGAGGGTAAAATGAATATTGTTGTTGAACATTATTACTTCTAAAGAATAATTATTGTTGGGGCCCCTGGTGCACGACCCCCCCGCCGCGCCTAGGCCGCAGCCACGTTTTCATCATTTTCGTGAGGAAGTCTCAGGCAAAACGGGTTGGTCCTGATCCGGTTGTGTTGTTACGGTCGGTTTTCCCTTGCAAAAAATGAAGTAAAGTGGACACTTCTTGTTCTAACATATCCAAACTTCAAGAATCCCTTGCAAAAAAAAGAAGGTAAAGTGGACATTCGCGCGCGCAAACGAAATCCTTCCAAAACCTTAGTTTTCGTAGCGATTTTAACATAAAAACATAAAAAAACCAATGGTTTTTCAAAAAAATGTCAAAATTTCATCCCGCGCGCTCTTGCGGATTCGTAGGAAACCCAACACTTGTTAAACATTTCTGTCAAACGGGCTTTTGCGAGCAACTTTTTCGAACTTCTGCAACAACGGTTGCGCACCTGCCAGGGCCATCATCCCTGTCAAATAATACCATGCGGGACACATTCGTTTTTTCTTCGCGCGCGCACGCCGTCGTCGTCGGCCGCGGGGCCCTGAATAGTAGCCACGGTCGTCCGCATGCCACGAAGTGAAGTGTCCGAACGTCATAGGGCGGGAAGCTGGGTGTGGGTGGTGGCGAAGAGTCGTTTGGAAATTTGGTAGAGCTTGAACCGGCCCCCCCACAAAGTGGGGGTATTGCCCGCCTCCTATGAAAACCCTGGCACTGGTGAGAACGGAGTGTCCCCACGTGCTAGTAATTGTTGAACATTATTAATTCTAAAGAATAATTATTGTTGGGCCCCCTGGTGCACGGCCCCCCTGCGCCGCCTAGGCCGCAGCTACATTTTCATCATTTTCGTGAGGAAGCCTCAGGTAATTCGATGTGATCAAGATCCGGTTGTTTTGTCCCCCCCCGCTTTCCCTTGCAAAAAACACTATAAAATGACATTTCTTGTTCTAATATAATCAAATTTCAAGAATCCCTTGCAAAAAATAAGGTAAAGTGGACATTCGCGCGCGCAAGACGAAATCCTTCCAAAAGCTTAGTGTTCGGAGCGATTTTAACATAAAAACATCAAAAAACCAATGGTTTTTCAACAAAAAAATGTCAAAATCTCATCCCGCGCGCTCTTGCGGATTCGTAGGAAACCCAACACTTTTTAAACATTTCTGTCAAACGGGCTTTTGCGAGCAACTTTTTCGAACTTCTGCGACAACGGTTGCGCACCTGCCAGGGCCATCATCCCTGTCAAATAATACCATGCGGGACACATTCGTTTTTTCTTCGCGCGCGCACGCCGAAATCTCCAAAAACCATTGGGCTTCTTAAGAATTTTAGCACCGCGCATCATATAAATCACACGAATCGGTTGCGCCATAGGTTGCGCCATAGGTTGCCCCCTGTGGGCGTACGAACGTAGGCTTAACAACTTCTGTGGGTGTGTACTCCACGCCAGTGTAGTAGCCACGGTCGTCCGCAGGCCACGAAGTGAAGTGTCCGAACGTCATAGGGCGGGAAGCTGGGTGTGGGTGGTGGCGAAGAGTCGTGTGGATATTTGGTAGAGCTTGCACTGCCCCCCCACAAAGTGGGGGTATTGGCTGGCGTCGCATGAAAACCCTGGCACTGGTGAGAACACAGAGCGTTCGGGTAAAGTGATTGTTGTTGTTGTTGTTGTTGTTGTTGTTGTAACTCGGGGGCCAGGGGCGCAGTTTGAGACTCAAGACTTTCCCTGACAAAAAAAACAGGGTGCGAGCCTCGGGAGGGGCACTTCAATGAAAAAACAATGTGCACCGGGCAGGGGGGTTCGACACACATTACCCTTCAGAAATGAAAGTTCAACAGCAATAGCGCGGGAGAGAAACGAGACGAGGAGAGGAGGGGGCAGAAACCGACGAGCAACAGGAACTTCATCCAGCACGAGGAATCAACACATGAACACATGTGGTTAGGGAAAACGATGACCTGCTGCTCCACTCCCTGCCTCCCTCCCTCTTCCTCCTCCCCCTGCTCCTCTTCCAGCTCCTCGTCCTCCTCCCTCCTCCCTCCCTCCCTTTTCCTTCCTCCCTCCTTCTTCCTCCTCCCTCCTCCCTCCCCCCCTCCCCTCCCCCTCCTCCTCCTCCCTCCTCCTCCTCCTCCTCCTCCTCCTCCTCCTCCTCCCCCTCCTCCTTCTCCTCCTCCCCTCTTCCCCCTCCCCCTCCTCCTCCTCCTCCTCCTCCTCCTCCTCTCCTCTTCTTCCTCCTCCTCCTCCTCCTCCTCCTCCTCCTCCTCCTCCTCCTCCTCCTCCTCCTCCTCCTCCTCCTCCTCCTCCTCCTCCTCCTCCTCCTCCTCCTCCTCCTCCTCCTCGCGCGCCAAGTGCTTCGTGCTGGTCTCCCCGTCGCGGAAATAAACCTCCGAGGCCTGCTTGCCCCGGATGAAGAGGTCCGGCTCTCCTGCGCGGCCCGGGCAGCCGAGGATCGACGAGGAGCTGGAGGGAAGTACAGTCGGGGCGTTGACCGAAGGAACCCTAGATAAGGAACGAGGCCCCTTTTTTCCACAAGTTGAGCTTCGATTTCCCATGGAAAACCACAGGAAAACAGAAGGCAAACTGCAGAACAATCAAGGAACACCGAGCCCGTCCCCAACGAAAAGGGTTCCTTCTTCAGGGCCCCGACTGTAGGTCCACAGTGCTTGCCAGCGTGGGCCCCAAACAAGAAGCTATGGCACTGTGGATGTGCAGGCTCTGCGATGCACAAAGCGTCTCGGCGGTGGACAGACCTCCCTTTAGTAAACCTCCCCTTAGTGAAAACGACCTAGGGCCGAAATCGACGGACCTGGACCCGCAAACATGACGGCCGCGACGCCCTCTCGCGAACCGAAAACGGCCAATTCCTTAATCGACGTGTCAGGGTAGGAGGTCTGTCCACCTCCGAGCGTCTCTGCGGTCGACTTTCGAAGAGCAGGTCTGCATCTTCGGGGCACCCCCGCTGGCAACGGCAACGGCCCGCAGCGGGCCGACACGTGGCGGAGCCTCGGAACTGCCCCACGGGCAGCAACGGGCGGCACGGGCCAGAGCATGGCGAACCCTCCAAAGAGCCCCACGGGCGGCAGCTGGCGGCAACTGGCCGTAACGTGGCGGCTCCTCGGGACACCCCCCCAAGCAGCAACAGCCCACGACGGGCGGCAGCAGGCCGGAACGTGACGGATCCGCAAGACACCCCCACAGGCGGCAGCGGGCGGCAAGCGGTCGGCAACGAGCCAGAACGTGGCGAATCCTCGGGGCACCCGTCCAAGTCCTTAGGAGCACGAGCAAGATCTCCCAAGGGCAAGCAGCACTGTGTGGGGAATCATTCCACGATGCGCTGCGCGAATCGGCCATCGCACGATCTCCCTGGCCAACTTCGCGTGGCCGAACGCTCGTGCTTTTCCAGGTGCCCGCAAGCACAGTCGCGTGCGGGCGGGGACTGGCACTCAGAAGGAAGCTTGCCACCAGGAGGAGGAGGAGGAGGAGGGGGAGGAGGAGGAGGAGGAGGAGGAGGAGAGAGGAGGAGGAGGAGGAGGGGAGGAGGAGGGGAAGAGGAGGAGGGAGGAGGAGGAGGAGGAGGAGGAGGGAGGAGGAGGCACCCCCCGCTGTGTCGCACGACGTGCAAGGGGGGGGGGGGTGGGAATGGGAATGTCGGGGGGGGGGGCGGAGCTGGACCTGGTCGGCCCTGGATCCCACTGCCCTGCCACAGTCCTCCTCCTCCTCCTCCTCCTCCTCCTCCTCTTCCTCCCCCCCCCTCCTCCTCTCCTCCTCCTCCTCCTCCTCCTCCTCCTCATAGTAAGGAACGGAGGAGCGGTCCTGGCCGCGGCGGGCCTGGGCCACAGACAGGCTCCACGGCATGCATCTGAGGAGCGGCCCGGAAACCCGAGCTCCTCCTCCTCCTCCTCCTCCTCCTCCTCCTCCTCCTCCTGTCCTCCTCCTCCGTCGTCGTCGTCGACGTCGTCCTCCTCCTCCTCCTCCTCCTCCTTTGCAACCTCCATCGTGAGGCTGCTCCTCCTGAGCCCACGCTGGTCACTGGTCCTTAAATGCGGGATGACGATGAATAATCGGGAGCGGCAAAGAGGGGGGTGTCGAAGAGGGGGGGGTGCAAATCATGACTGGCGGCATGTGCGCGGCCCAGCGGGCGGGCCAGGGACGTAATGAAATAAGAAGAGGCGCCATGAAATCTGAGAAAATATCATGGCCCCCGCCATGATATCCCCCCCCCCTAGTCATCACCCCCCTCTTTTCCGCCCCCGAAATAAAAAATGGGAGAGAACGATTAAACAAATAGTTTTCCGGTATTTCCGCGCAACTTTCTGACTGCAAGGGAACGATTCAAAGAATAGTTTTCCAGTCCGCGGTCGGTTTTTCTAATCGTCATCCCGGGCGCCGCCGCGTGAACACGACCCCCGGTCATTTATTAATCATCATCCTCCATTATGACAGCGTCTTGACTGTGCGCTCCCACGCGCGAGCCTTCACGAGGTCCACGGTGGCGCCTGGGCGATGCTGATGCTGATGCTGCTGCTGCTGCTGCTGCTGCTGCCGGTGATCGTCGTGATGATGCTGGTAATGTTAGGTCGGGCATGTCCCCTTACATGCGGATTTTGGAGGACAAATAACGTATCCGGGCGGAGGACCCAACCATGTGCAGTTGTGGGTACGGCAATTGTGAATATCTTCTTCGGTGAAGCTCCCTATGGTGCCACGAAGCGCTGCACTGGGTGGCGGGCGGTCCCACCGGGGCCGTCGGAGGAGCTCCTTATGGGACCACGAAGCGCTGTACTGGGTTGGTGAACGCGCCATATTGGGTGTGGGGGATGCATGTGGGCGGTCCCACTGGGGGCTTCGGTGGGGCTCCCTATAAGGCAACGGAACGCTGTACTGGATGGGTGAAACTGCCATATTAGGTGTGTGGGACGCATGCGGGCGGTCCCACTGGGGGCTTCGGTGGAGCGCCCTATGGGGCCACGAAGCGCTGTACTGGGTGGGTGAAAATGCCAAACGGGGTGTGTGGGACGTATGCGGGCGGTCCCACTGGGGGCTTCGGTGGAGCTCCCTATGGGGCCACGAAGCGCTGTACTGGGTGGGTGAAGCGCAGGGAAGGAGGAGGGGGCCACGAAACGCTGTACTGGGTGTGTGGGACGCATGCGGGCGGTCCCAGTGGAGGCTTCGGTGGAGCTCCCTATGGGGCCACGAAGCGCTGTACTGGGTGGGTGAAACGCAGGGAGGAGGGAGGAGGGGGAAGAGGAGGAGGGAGGAGGGGGAGGAGGAGGGCGAGGAGGAAAACAGGAGAACGCGGGGCAGCGTCTCTTCAAAACGAAGACCCAACACCACAAGATGGTTTGGACAAATAATCAAAAACTGCTCAAGCATAATCCAAACATACTCAAACCATCGCCCCGGACATTTTTTTTGTTTTTTTTTTTGTTTTGTGAGTTTGCCTCCCGTAAAAGGACACGCCCGACCTAATGGTAATGGCTCAATGTGGCGCGCTGGTGCCAAGCGAGCCAAAACATGGAAGCCCGACGGCAGCCCCGCCTCGAAAGGACCCCCGCGGGAAAGCAGGCCCACGCCGTCTCGCCAAAGCATGCAAGCCCGAAGGCAACCCCGCCTCAAGAGGATCCCCGCGCGAAGAGCAGGCCTAGGCCGTCCTCGCCCATGCAACTGGAACAAGGGGCGGGCGAACGCCCACCTGCGAACAAAAACGAGGTGATGATGAGGCGGAGGGAGGAGGAGGCGAATCCGCGGGAGGGTCACATGCCAATGCGCACGAATGTGGCCAGGCATGTATTTCCCCCCCCGAGGCACGAGGTGGAGTGTCCTCAGGTCATTCGAGTTCTCTGCGCTGGATGCTGTAACATTCCTTGAGGGCCCCCCCGCCCCGAACTCCAGGCGCTCCCGCGGCTTCCCGCAGACCTCGTGGAGCTCCTCGCGTCTCCGCGTCTGCACTTCGGCGGGCGACATGTGCATGTTACTTGTCGTCCATTGCTCCGCGCTCGCCGCGGTGCGTGCCTCGCAGGGCGCAGGCCGATGGTGCTTGCTCGCTTGTCCCCGAGACTGGCCCCCTTCAGCGAGCGAGAAGTCCTCGCAGCCTGGTCCTTTGAATAACGAAATGTGCATGTACTTCATCTTACTCTGCCCCGCGCTCGTCGTGGCGAGTGCCTCCCATGGCGCAGGTCTTCCCCCGTGAATTGTTCCCGCCAGCCCGGCCTTCGACGTGCATCCGGTATTTGCCTTCTTCTGCCCCGAGATCGCCGCGGCGCATTCCTCGCAAGAAGCGCGTCTTCTCCACTTGTTTGCTCTCCCCCAACCTTGCTCTCCAATGGTTGTATTCATTATCTTAATCGTGTGTACCCTGCCAAGTAATTGCCGCGGCGCGTGCTTCGCGAGATGCGCGTCTTCTGAACGCACTCGCTTGTTTTCCTCAAGCCTGGCACTTCAGGGAACCGAGCTTACGTCATTTACCATGCTCGCCCTGCCTGGCAATCGCTGCGCCGCATACTTCGCAGGCCACAGATCTTCTCAACTTGTTTTCGTTCCCCCCCAACCCGGCCCAAATGGCCGTCAACGAGCGGGGCAACTCGGCAACCAACAAGCTGGCCAATCAACCAACTAACCAACCAACTGGCTGGTCAAACAACCTATCGACCGACCGACCGACCAACCAACCAACTAATTGGCCAACTGGTAAACAGGCCGACTGGCTACCAATGAACTGACCTACCAACCGACCAACTAACTGGGCAGCTGGCAAGCAGGCCGACCGGCTACCAGACAACTGACCTACCAACGCACATGCTAATCAATCGGCCACCTGGCCAGCCAGCCCACCGGCCAACAGACCGCCCCAAACGCGCGCACTATCATGGTTGATAGCGCACAGCCTTTAAGCAATATTGCTCACAAGGTTGTTGACCCCTATATTAAACAGGTTAAGAAGCAACGCGTAAATACATAGACACATATATAAGCACAAAGATCTCCAACAATGCAGATAAATAGATTCCGCTCCCGAGGAGGAGGGACATGAGAAAGTAACGAACGAACAACCACCACGACAAAGGAGAAACGTCCGAGGAGAAAGAATGCGGAACGACTCTTGGGCGCCGAGTTCGCATTTCACCACGAGCGGGTCAACGTTCGGCACCTGAGTGGCCTTTGGGAGGCAGTTTCGCTCCGCTTTAACGCACCTGCAGGCGCTGAAGAGAATGCTCGGGCCCCATGTGTCCCCATGAATGAACGAATGAATGGGCATCCAAAGACAGGTCGCAGGACCACGTTCAAACAAGCGAAAAGATTAGGGCAAGGGCAGGGTCGCTCCTTGCCTGGCCTCCTTGGCCTGGATGCGCTGCATCAGCGCCTCCGGCCCGACCTCGTAGCCGGGCGCCTCCAAAGGCGCAGCAGGCACTGCTGCGAGGAGGAAGA